GGCGTCCTCGCAGGAGGGCGGGCCGCGGGGGAAAGTTGCAGGCTTCTCCGGGCGGAAGCTGACAGGCCCGAGCAGAGAGGGCTCTAAAAGTGCCCCGGGGCTTGTGCCGTGCGAACCAGCAGTGGGAAAACAAAAGCAGCAAACTCACTGCCGTCGGTCATTTCCACTCCGAGTGGCCCCATGGGACCGGATAGAAGTGTGCCTGTGAGTTTCAGAGACGGAGACTACCTCCTCAAGCCCTGCTGTCGCCTGCAGCGCAGCTGTTGACCTTGCAGTCAGTAGCCCAGCCTCTAACTGTTGGACGCCAGCGTTCCCAGAGCGTGGAAAGGTAGAGAAACGAAGGCCACAGAGACTTTTCACAAAGGCCGTCCTCTTTGAGAACCTGAGCAAAAGTTAGCTAAAACTGTCTTTTAGGACCATAAAATACTCTCTCCAGTATTTTTAATGGGCCCGGGCTGTCCAATAGTTAAGCTGTCCAACGTTAAGGGGAAAAGGAGAGACAGTCTTCCGTCCATAAAGATGCCTTGAGAGATCAACTAGAACCCCCTCCCAGGGGGACAAATAACGGAAAAGTGGGTGAGGGGCGACGGAAGACAATGTAAGAGATGGAAACAATCTATAACTTATCAAGGGTTCGTAAGGGAAGGGGGAGGGAGGGGGAAGAAATGGGGAGCAGATATCAGGGGCTCAAGTGGGAAGAGAATGCTTTGAAAATGATGTTGGTGGCATGTGCGCAAAGGTGCTTGACACACTGGATGAATGTATGGATTGTGATAAGAGATGTAAGATCCCCCAATTAAAGTAGTAAAAAAAAGATGCCTTGAGAACCCCACCAGGCAGTTGATTCTGCCAGTCCTATCGTGTCCCAGTGAGAGGCTGATAGGATAACAACAAAGGCATATTTTTAATGCAGACCTTCTCTAAATATGATATCCCGCCTATGAGAGACATTACAAATCCACTAAATGTCGGAGAACCTGGGTCCAGGTTTTTTTAATTGTTTTAATTACCTGGCTTGGAGTCACCATAAGCGTTTAAAAGCTTTTTTTGGAGACTAAATCGGAGGATGCTATATTTCTCAAAGTTTCTCATACCATGACTAACAGATTAATTAGCATACCTTGTCAATGTCATAACCAATAAACCAAGGGACACGCTAATTACCTTGTGTTTATTTATTAATCTGACGTAAGCGGCTTCACGTGCTGTTCAGCAGGCATGCTTACCTTGCTTTCCGGGTACTCCATCCCTGTCTGAGATGGTAAATCTGAAAAGAGGAAGATGCTGTGTCCTTAGAAGGGAGGCAGATGGCAGCCATACCTAGGAGCAGTCTTTGATGTGGGGGGAAATGTGAGGTTGCTCACAATAGCTTAAAAAACAAATGTTTGTTTATTGGGTAATCCAACCCTGCTTATTACCGTTTACATTTGTAAGGCATTTTTATAGATCGAGCATACTATGATGCCCTCCCAACAAAAGCTAGAGGGTTATAGATAAGATTGTTTCCATTTCTCAAGTATGAAAACTCAGAAAGATCAAATGACTGGCTCCTGGTCACCCAGCTAGAGATGCTCGGGTACAAGCCCAGGACGCCTAATCTCGTTTAATTCCATTACATAATGATACCTCTGGAGAGCTGTTGAAGTCCGCATTGTCAAGCTAGATATGAAACTAACACAATCTGTGATTGTAGGGAGCGGTATGCGATTATTTCAAAGGAGAGAGCGCATTAAACATCATTGAAATATCGCCCCTTATGCAAAAACTGAATACTAACCAACTAAAATGTGGCATTGTTTCTGTAAGTCTTGAAACAACTATGCAAATTAGCAACATGCCTCCTCTCTAAACTGAATACTTCCTGTGTTAAACATATTATTTAATCTTTATAACCCTCAAGTGACCCTCATGATCTGGTCACCCAAACTCCTGCAATTCTATTGCGTGGCTTAGTTATATCTATAAATGTAGAACCTGTTTTACTTCATTTTTATATGGGATAAATTTTTTTTAACCTCTACTAAGTAATCAGAGCTACTTTTGTGGCCATTGGGGAAGCTGAAACTTAGCTTATAATTGCATCCACATTAAAAAACAAGTTACATTCTAAGGAGATCATCAGGGACTCTGTCAAGGCAAATATGCCTGAAATGGGGCCTGCTGGCTTTTCTTTCCGTCTTGGGTCTGGGCATGTTGCCACATTTCTGATCTCTGAGCTGTAATGTTGACCTGTACAGGCTCCAGGAACAATATTCAGGGTCAGTTAATAACTCCTCCGAACAGTTGTGGTCCATTGCTCCAACATAAATTAAAAATAGTTGCATATTATTTTTTCTTCATTACAAAAACCCAACTTAAAGCTAATTTGAGAAATCTTTTTTTCACTTATTAGTTAGGTCAAGATTAAAGAGATTGATAACTACTGCGTGAGACAAAATGAGTGATGCTACAGATATGAATGTAAATTAGAATAATCTCCATTGAGGGCAATGCACAATACTTTCTAAAATTATAAATGGACATATACTTTGTGCCAAGAAGTCCACATATGAGAATTTATCTTATAGCACACTTGTGGCATAGCATGGTTCTAACAGCCTGTTTATTTCAGCATTGTTTTAAATAACAAAATATTTTTTAATATACAACTGTTCCCTAATACAGGAATGGTAAATCACAATACATCCATATAATGGAATCTTATAAAGCATAAAAGAAAGAGGAAGAGGGACAGGAGAAAAGCTCTTTCTACTTTTCTACTTTTATGTAATATTCACGAACAATATTATGTACAAAATAGAAAATGCAACTTAGCTAATAATATACTACCATTACTCTTAACATATATACATGTGTTACAAATGCATGCATTATAAATATGTTTATACATTTATAGTTATATATAATTATATATTTATGTGTATATATGTACATATATTCGTTCAAAATATCTCTGAAAAAATATACCAGTACCTCATGTAATCAGTTGTGTTTTATGAGTGGGGCTGAAAAGTAAGAGTTGAAGAATGACCTTTCCAAGATAAAATTTTTTCCCACTACTTGCAGTATTGCCATGAGGAAGAATGAAAACTTTCTCCCTAATAATTTCACTTATAGCTAAAATAAATGACCACATTTTTCATACATTACTTGGGTCAAAAGGTGAGGGTGGAGGGCAAGGCTTCCAATGGAACTTTCTTCTATAGTTTATCTACAAAGGGAGACTAACACACAAAACTCTCACAACCACAATGCTGTGGTTAAAAATGATGAGCTAGCAAATTCCTTAGGATTTTATTCGCATGGACAGCTCCCTAGGATAGACTTTCCAACAAACTTCCCCAAAGGCACATTCAATCATAAAAGAAAAAGAGCACCAGCCGAAACCCCAGAGGGGAGATTTCAGTGCATTCTGGTTTGAATAGTGAGGAAGTGATCCCATAGGAATTCCATGGACTCAATATGTTTTGTTCCCAAACCAAGTCCTGTTTCTTATTAATTCTTTATATTTACTTACACCACCACTTGATTCCAAAAAATGGTTTGAATGAATCTAAATAACAGGCGCACAACAATGAAAAACAAACATTTGGAACTACTAAATAACAGGCGCACAACAATGAAAAACAAACATTTGGAACTACTAAATAACAGGCGCACAACAATGAAAAACGGAAACATTTGGAACTACAAAGTTAGGCCACAAAGAAGAGCAAAGCGGTAAGAGTAAATATATTGATGAGCAGAGAAAAAGATGCTTCCTGATAGCCAAGTGCCCCTACATATTGCCACCTTCAAAGGGGGCTGAGAGTTTTCCCTACCAGACATTCTTTAAATTTGGTGGGGTTTTTTATTTTATTTTTCACTTATGGTCTGCAACGAGACTTCCTGCGGTGATTGTTAGGTGCTGGGAAGTGGGTCTGACGCCCAGCAACCTGTGGACATCAGAATGAAACCCTGTCCAGTCGAGCGCCACCTTCCCAAGGGTTAAGGTTGGAGCCCGGTGTTTCAGTCACTGTGTAACTCTATCTCTTTACAGATCTTCCTCTTTTTTTTTTTTTTTTTACCAACTGTGTTAGTCTGGGTAGACTAGAGAAACAAATCCATGGACACACATATGTATATAAGAAAGATGTACAGTGAACCCTCTTTTATCGCGGTTAATCGGTTCTAGACCTTACCGTGATAAATGAAATTCCGCGAAGTAGGATTCCTTATTTGTAAATCAAATATTTTCGTAGTTAG